TTGCATGACTCCTTCAGTCCTGGACCATCAACTTCAACTGGGGCTGCGCCTTCACTAATGCCTTCCATGGCCTCTCACAGTGACAAGCTTCAGCTGCTCTTCATGACCCCTTCATGCCTTCAAAACCAGTACCTCCTGTGTGATGCTTACACATTACCAAGAACAGCTGCAGCACAAGGTACAACCTTGGCTATCTCTGGAACATAGCTTCTTTGTGCTCTCAGAAAACACTTTCCAGAAGATTTCACCTCAGTGATGCTGGTCTCTTCTTAATCACCACTAATTTCTTAGCTCCAGCTAACCAGCATCAATTGTCCCAGTAGTCCCTGCTATTTTTCACCCTAAAGCCAGAGCCACATGGCTGAAGCTGCTGAGTTCTGCTATTTGGAGTAGCTGAAACGTGGTCCCCTTATTCTATTACCAGCTTTCTGTCTTCCAACTTCTTCTCTGCCTAAGCTTGGCTTTCCTGGAACTTGCTCTGTAGATTGACCTTGAACACAGAGATCTGTGTGGCTCTGTCTCCCTTAGTGCTGGGATTAAAGATGTAAACCACCATGCAGTGTAGAATCTTGCCCCAGAGTCCCACTCCTTTAATCTGCTATCTCCTAGAACACAGGATTCAGCTCCATTTCACTTACTGGTGCCCCTTTAATACTCAAACCACAGATTTTATGTTGTTCATTTCTCAGCTTGCTATGCTTGTTTAATATTCTCTTCATGAGACTTCACCAGAGAGCAAAGTCTATCTATGATGAGCATTTCTGAGACTTCCTTTGTCAATGCAATTAATCTGAGTCTCTTCAACTTAGCCTCAGACAGACTTCAGACAAGGGCAAAATACCACAAAAACAGTCTCTAGGCCACGTACTGAAATTCTTCTCCACTGAAACCTCTTGGACCAGGTCAGCACAATTCAAATCATTCACAGCAACAAAGTCTTCCATATTCCTTCTAGAATAGCCCATTAAGGCCCACTTAAAGCATTCTAATGCTTTCCAAATCCAAAGTCAGACTGTATTCCATGCAAGGCAGGCACTTCCAGTCACAGTTAATTCCTAGACACAGACTCAGTGCCACACAGGTAGCAAGACACCACCCTGGATGGCAGGATGCACTTCAAAGGCATGTAGCAGCTAGACTCCAGGGCACTTGTCTGGGTGCTCCTGCACCTTCAATCTGGCTGTCATCATTGTCAGAGCATGCCTGGACCTCTACTTCCACATTTCTTACCAGTGGGAGACTCTCCTCATCATTGGCCACTCAGTTCTTGGCTCAGCAGCCTGAACGATCCTGCTGAAACAGGTTGGATCTTGTTGCTCCTCTGAGCAAAGCCCATTTAGTGGTATTGCCATTCACTTTAGAACAAAAGCCAAAGTCCTTACTGCAGCTTACATCCTGTCTCGTTGGAGTCTAGATCTCCATGCTCGCCCTCCAGTATTCTATTCATCACTTCTTGCAGAGCTTCCAGCAAGGAAGAACTGAAGGCTTTCTACTTCCTTTCACTTCCAGGAGAACCCTGACCCAGTGGGACAGTTAAACGAGACAAGAAGCCGGAAGCCTTGGACTGAGATGTAAAGAGCTGCATCTGCTGGGTGAAAGGTTACTACCTTCTTCTAGTCAGTGTACAGACATTTACTCCGAAGAATTCAACTGTTGGCTAAAAATCCAAAAGTAATTATTTAAATCAGTGTTTCTCAACCTATGACCGCAAGCAACTGGGAGGACAAGAGGGAGGGACAGTGTCCCCTAGTGGACTGTTTTGCCTGTATGTATGAATATGTACCACAAGCCTACCTGGTACCCTCAGGGGTGAGAAGGAGGACATCAGATATCCTAAAATAGTTGTTGAAGTACTTGTGAGCTGCTATGTGGGTGCTGGAAACCAAACCTGGTCTCCTGCAAGAGCAACAAGTGCTTTTAACTATAGAGCCATTTCTCTAGCTCCACCATAGTTTTTAAACAGAGAAAATTCTACCAAGGAAGGTAGAGACCTGAGTTACAGAGAACCTGAGTCTGAAAGGACTAAAGTAGCAAAACAAACTCCATTTTGGTTTTTTAGACTCCATTTTAAGCTTTTGTTCTCAGAGTGACTTGGCCCCTACCCTTGAGTTCTGGAAAAAAACATGAGATACTCTTGGCAGTTGCAAAATAGACATAACAGCTGTAGCCAACTGATAATAACAGGGTGGGCTAAGTAAACACAAATCATTCCCAGGTCAGGAAGCTCCTTTTATATGTGTGGTCTCTCCTTGCGGTTTGACCAGATGCTGTAAACCAATCAGCTTAGAGGCCAACATTCCTTTATCCTCTTACTCAATCTTGTAACACCAAGGCTTGGAAATCCCTGCTTGTGGGTTTTTCCTTTATAAACCCCATGGCCCTAGACCTTGGGGCCACTCTTCTATCCTACTGCATCAGGACAGTTTGTGGCCCAGGCTCAAGCTTGAGTAAAGACTCTTGTGTGCTTGCATTGGAGTTGTGGCCCCTGGTGGTCTCGTGAATAGGGCATAACAAGTCCAGGTCCCAGCACCCACACTGGGTAGTTTACCATCACCACCTATATTCCACCCCAGGGAATTAGATGTCTTGTTCTAGCCACCAAGGTCACTTGTACTTATGAATACACATCCTCACACAGATACACACACACACACACACAATTAAAAAATAAACCTTAAAAGAAAGTTATAGAAATTATTCTTCCTTAGAGGGAAAGGGGTATACAGAAGTTGGTGATATCTGCCAAACAGCTATATGTTTGATCTCTTAATTCTGTTACTCTTAAAAAGGAAAAAAGTGTTCTTTCCTGTCTTCAGGACTCTTGTTTATAGGGGTCTTAAAGGGGTCTGGAGTATTAAGACACTAGTGTTCACTCAAAATTTCAAGGCATGTGGTGCTAGCCAGCATTTAGGATGGTTCCCAGTGGTCTCTGCCTCCTGGTAGTCACTCTGGTGAACACCTGAATACTCTGCACACAGGTATTCACTCTATAGGGCTATTCTATGTGACCAATTTACTAACCCAGAAGTAACAATGTGTCTCCATCATTTAAGTGTCTGCCATCTAAGTAAGCAATGTACAAAAGACTCTTCAACCACCATGAAGTGTGGAGAGCTTTTGGGGCTGCTTGGCAGGAATCTGACATTGGTCAAGGACAAGGAAATGGGCTTTAGGCAGGAATCTGACATTGGGCCATGACAGGGAAGTAAGTAATCTAATTTCAGGCTAAAACAGAAAATTTCAGTCAGGAAGCTAAGTCTCAGGCTAGAACAAAGAAGTAGGCCTCAGGCATGAACATGACTGTGGGCTAGGACAAGGAAGTGGGCTCAGATATTTTTGTCATCCTGATGAGCCCTTAGAAACAATGATCATGAGAGTGATCACAGGACTTTGCTTATTGCCTTGCTTGTTCCTTGACTATTTGCATTTATTGTATTGCTAGTTCCTCAACTTAGAACTGACCTAAATACTTTCCATGTAATTAAAATGGTTTAAAACAAAATTGAGAAAAAATAAACCTGCCTCAGCCTTCAGTCTCAGAATTGGCTGGGGTCATGCTATACTGTTGTCTAACCGTCTTTTTTTCTTTTTTAATCCTTACTCCTGCGCTAGAGAACCTGTTGACTGACTGAGCTGGCTTGGTCAATGAAGCCTTCAGATGACTAGAGCCCTGGTTGATAATATTCCTGCAACTTTGAAAACCTGAACTAGAATTTAGCTCCCAAATTCCTGACCTGTACTACAGTCTGAGACACAAAATAATTACTATTGTTTCAACTATTCTGGATTTGTAATGAATAACAAATATACCCGTCCCCTCTCCTTTTTGTACAGGTTGGGCATCAACCCAAGACGGTCCACTGGTAGGCAAGGCTCTACCATTGAGCTTCATCACCAGCTCAAACAAATTTTTCATGGAAACAAATTTGACCATGTGAGTTATTTTATTTAGTACATGTAACAGTGGAAAACAGCTTTTACATGATTAAACTAAATACAAAATTGAAATTAAAAAACCACAAACATTTCAAAAATAGTCAAAGAAAGGCTATCTTAAGGGGCTGAAGAGATGGCTCAACGGTTAAGAGCTCTTGCTCCTCTTCCTGAGGACCTGATTTCAGTTCCCAGTACTCACAGGGTGGCTCACAAACACCAGAAACTCCAGCTCCGGGGGATAAGACAGACCCTCTCTGGACACACACACACACACACACACACACACACACACAAATGAAAAAAAATCAAACAAATCGTAAAAAAAAAGTCAATCTTAACATAGTGTCAGGTTGAGGATATAGTTCAGTTGGTACAGTGCTTGCCTAGCAAGGATTAAGCCCTCGGTTCCATCCCAAAGCACTGCTTAAAACCACTTGTCGGGGTGAAGACAGATCAAGAGTCCAAGGTCATCCTCTGCAGAATAGTTTCAGCCAACTACGTGAGACACTGAGGACGGGAAGGGGCTGGGGGGGGGGGCCTTGAGGAAGGGTATAATTTCTTTTTAATATTGAACCGCGACTCAGTAGTAATATGATGCTGAGCCTGAGAGGTGGCGCCAGTGAAGTTCGCTCATTTCCTAACGCTGGCTGGAGATGGATCTTCTGGAAGCCCAGCCCTTACACATTTGGTCACCTCAACTTGGTGGGAACTTGTCAAAGTCATCCGGTAGCCGAAGTTCTCATTCCTGTGCTTCCGACAGTTATCCTAGTGAGGAGCGCGTGGGCACCCAGGACTAGGAGCTGCAGCAGCCTACAGGTCCGGGGTTCTCCTCTGTCCTCGCTTACGAGAGCCAGGCCCTTGGCTTCTCGTCCTTCTCACCTGGCGTTGCTAACTAGAGGGAAGCAGGAAATTCCCTGCAACTCGGCGCTCAGGCTCCCCGCTGCGGGCCGTAAGGGATACATCAAGGGAGCACGCCGCTATCTGGTTGAGCGCTGAGGCGCCATACAAACCTGCCCCGACTGGGCAGCCGCTCCACAAGGTCAAAGGCAGAGGAAGTCGGACAGCAACTTGAGCAGTTAACATACACGTTCCGTGCAGCGCCTGCCGCAACTACTAGGGAGGACTACCTTGAGCGAATGCGCATGCTCAGTGTGTCGCTAAGGAACTGCGGCCTGATGAGAGACGCGCATGCTTCCTGTGTGCACTTCACCTCCTCCAGCGTTGCGTAGCAGCGCGCATAGCTCTATGGGAAATATAGTTTCTCGGGCTTAGACTCTCAGGCACGCCTCCCTCCTGTGCTCAGCGAGGGACTACCGCTGCAGCCCTTCCGGCAGACAGGAGCGTGCGAGGACCCGGACTGAAGGGCTGGGCAAGAGCGAGGAGGGCGGAACGGGTGGGAAGGCCACGCACGCGGGGGCGGGGCTTTAGCCAGGAAGCCGCCGCCGCGGCTCGTGGTACAGATTTAAGGAGCGAGCCGCGGAGACAACGCCAGGCGTGGGCGCGAACACTACCGGTGGCACTCAGTGTTCCTAGGTCCCCTCGCTATTGGCCGGGACGCGGGAGAGCGCGGCGGGGGCGCGAGGTGGGAGCGGCCAATGCGAAACTGGCTGGTGCTGCTGTGCCCTTGCGTGCTCGGGGCCGCGCTGCACCTCTGGCACCTCTGGCTCCGTTCCCCGCCGGCCCCCCACAACACTGGGCCCAGCGCGGCAGGTGAGGTGAGGGGTTCAGTCGCTGCGCTCGTGGGAGGCCGCGAGGATGGCTGAAGGGGAACTGGCAGGGCTGGGATGTCCCAGTACGGACGGAACAAACGAGTCTTTTCATTGGCGTCGGGCGAACCCGACTGTTCGTTTCTTATCAGTGTGTGCTCAACTGCCCACGTCGTGGTCGAGGGCCCTGGCCACAACATGGGGCGCTTCTCTCCGAAGAGGGTGGGGTGGGCGGGGGCGAGCCTGCCGGTGCTGGCTTTTCGTGTCAGGACTCAACTTTGCAGCGAGGAGGGACTGACTGACTGTATTTTCTCTAATCATGAGGTGAGCCAGGGTTCAGCTGTGAGTGGAGTCGCCCATGTTGTTCTGGTTGGGTAACTTGCTAATTAAGGAGCCTAGGAACACCGGATTCTTATTTAACTTCGCGCACGTTTGTCCCCAAACTTCAACCATCATGGAAATGAAATCTTTGTTCTTACTCGCTTTACAATCTGACGGTGCATTTGCCCACAGTGGGTATCCAGTGTTGTCCTGCCACCCTCAACACTACTTTCGTGTCTCCTGTGTCTTTTTTCAAGTTTTTCCCGGAATGCTTATATATAATGAGAACTAGATAGGTAATTTAAAGATAGGGTAATGCTTGTTTTATTTAAATACGTTAGGATTTATGTTACCATTTCATATCCAAACAGCTATTTTCTTTTCGGGAAATTTAAAACAGCTCCTAACAGCCATCAAAGAACTATACCTTATTTAGCAATCCTCAAAACTCCGACTGTTACCAGATTACACTGGAGTTATTTTAGTAATGATCTCTTTTCCTATTAGACAACCACCGTTTTTTGGAAAGGCTATTTGTGTGACTGAAAAGAATTAAATCACTTAAGTGGTATAATGAACGTACATTGTATGTGTATTTAGCTTGTGGGACTTTTACAAACTAGTTAAGAAAAGGTTGTACATATGAAACACTTTGCCATCTAACATCTGATGGGGTTGTGCTCTCAAAGATGAGTGAATTGCTGAAATCTACTTACAGAGCCACTGTAGAATATATATGACCTTAACATTAACAGTCTTTTGGTGTTCAACACAATAAACCTTGCCTTTGAGCTTGTATTTAAGTAAGACTGCAAACAATTTTGGGGGTTTGAAACAGATTTTTCCTGATGTTTTTAGTGCTTATCCATTTAGGCTAGACTAGGTTAAGAAAGCAAACTGTAGGAAGAGTCAGGGTTATATAGGGTCATACTAGTTGTAAAAATTAATTTTGTGTTGATATCGAAGCTTTGTCAGATAATCAGTAGGATTTTTAATTAGACAGATTCCTATCCCACTCTCCTCCCATGGTACTTCAAAAACAAAAGCAGAAGTATTCTGATTGGAAAAAATTCCCACAGGTCTCTTTCCTAATTTGCTGTTGAAATATTTAAAACATTTGGGCATTTTTACTTTCTGACCACATACATTAAGCCTAAAACCTGAGATTTTTACTAAGTATCTTTTTCTTGAAATAACATTTTAAGATTTATTTTGTTTTCTTTTCTGCTACTCTGTCTAAAAGCCCATTCAAGCCACAATAGTACTTTTTTACATTTGTGTGTCTGTGTCTATGTGCATGTGTGAGTGCGCACTTGAGTGTGCACATTGATACAGCATGAAGCTTTTGTAAAAGTTGAAGGACAACTTGTGGGGCAGTTCTCTCCTTCCACCGTGTGGGTTATGATTTTGTGATGTTCAGAGTTTGATTACCAGACTTTTTTTTTATCAGTCCTTTGACCTGATGAACCATTTCATTAGTCCAATAACTGTTTGAAAGGGAAATTTACTGTCCCTGAATATTAGAAAAGCCCTCTGGCTCATGGTTGGTTCAGCAAATGGTAGAGGGCTGCTGGGCCATTTTCTCTCATAGGTCAGAATTAGCAAATAATTAATGTAAAGTGCCTGCCCTCCAGGTCTTAACTATTTGAAAGGGAAGACCGCATAAGACTGTAAATGTCATGGGGATGCTGAGTCTGATGAGGAAACGAGTTCTAAGAATTGACCCAAGAGATCAAGGAAGGCCTCAGTGAAAAAAAAGGTGACAGCTGAGCTGAGCTAAGGGGAGCGAGTCATGTCAGTACTAAGATTAGCAACTTTTCTAAAGCAGTGACTTTAAACAGCTGAAACCAGTCATGGAGCATAACTGGTTAGGAGGAAGGTCTCTTGTGAAATATAGCACACCATAGGTACTGACAGGAAAGGAAATGATAGCCAGGGGATATAAACTGTGACTTGATTTTTTTTTAAACTGGATTTAGATAGTGCCTTAGCAGAAATTCTGCAGTGGTCAATATAGAAAACTTATGTGATCAAGAAAAGGCTTCTCTTTGAAAGGTATCTGGAAAAAAGGAAGCCAGAGTTGTAAAGAAAAGTAGCTTATCACCTAGTACATACTTGGATAACTACATGTAGGCCTGGATACCTGGGTCTAGCGTGTTTGTTGACAGACTGGGCAAGCAGTACAAAGATAAATTGAGGTTGATGTCCAGCTTTTGCCTAGGGTTAGTTCTTGCAAAAGTATCCTTCTATTCTATATCTTAGGATTTCAGTTCCCATGCATATGAGCTATAAGAATTTGGTCAGCAAAACACTCAGATTGGTGCCTGAGTCACTCCTGGAATTTTGATGAGTATTTCAGTTTGGGTTTTACTGCTGTAAACAGACATCACAACCAAGGCAATTCTTACAATGATAACGTTTAACTGTGACTGGCTTACAGGTTCAGAGGTTCAGTCCATTATCATCAAGATGAGAACATGGTGCATCCAGGCAGGCATGGTGCAGAAGGAGCTTTTCCAAAACCTATTCCAACAAGGCTACACTTCCTAATAGTGCCACTCCCTGAGCCAAACATATATAAATCGTCACATTCCACTCCCTGGCCCCATAGGCTTCTTCAAACACATGAGTCTATGGGTGGGGGTGGGGCGCATGCCTATCCATGGTATAATAAAAAAAATACATTGAGTCTTACTTGCAAAGTCCCCATAGTCTAGAGCAGTTTCAACAGTGTTAGAAGTTTAATATTGTAAGTCTCTTCTGAGATCCATCCAATCACTTAACTTTAATCCCCAAAGCAAGACAGGAAACCACC